AAATTTTATTTCTGGTGGCAACTCTAACATATTCAAATCAAAAGCAATACCCAAGGGGCTATATGAGATTAACAACCGTAACATTGTAATCTTTTTTTAATTTTTTATTTATTCCGTTGAGAGAGAGAACAAAACATCAATTTATTGTTCTACTTATTTATTCCTTGATTGCTTGATTCTTATATGTGCTCTGACAGGGGTTCAAACCCGTAACCTGTTATATTGAGACGATGCTCTAACCAACTGAGCTAACTGGCCAGGGCACACTGTTGTAGTCTCTCAATGGCTGTATTGTAATTGCTTGTTTAATTTTCATCTCCCTTGTTAGGCTATAAACTCAGTGAGGGCAATGATACTCTTGTACACCACTGCATTCCCAGTGCCTAGAACAGTGTCTACTATTCAGGGTATTTGTTGAAGAATGAACAGTGACTTCCCATGTGAAAACACATGACAAAGGAGAAATGCTGAAAGCTGCCTCATGTAATGAAATATTGAACTTTTGATTCTTTTCCTTGAAACCTGGTTTTTGTAACATGAAAGTAATGTCAGCCTCATGAATTTCATTTTCTCTTTTAATAGTAAGTGAGGCAAAATTTCATGGAAAGGGTCAGACCTCAAAATCTTTACAACCTAGGTTTGAATCCAAGATCTGTGTCAGCAGCTTAACCTCTCCCAACAGTGGAGAATTACAAATTAGGTATTATGTTAGGATTAGTCACATAGTAGCTTCAACAAAAAGTTAGCTTCCTTTTTCCTTTTCTTCTCATAGTACATAATTAAAAGTAATTCAGCTTCTCTTCATTTCAAAGTAATCTTTATACTGTTATGTTATTTGGTTTTAAAAAATAAAAAAATGGGACTAGTAGGCCAGCTTCTATGGGAAACAACTAAAGTAGCAGTCAGGAAACCTAAGGTAGTCCTGGCATGCATGCATGCATGCATTTATTTATTTATTTATTTATTTATTTAAATTTGTTTTTAATTTCAGAAAGGAAAGGGGGGAGAGAGCAATCAGTGATGAGAGAAAATTATTAATCAGCTGCCTCCTGCATTCCCCCACTGGGGACCCAGCTTGAAATCCAGGCATGTGCCCTGACTTGGAATCCAACCATGACCTCCTGGTTCATCGGTCAATGCTCAACCACTGAGCCACACTGGCCAGGCAGTTTTTTACAGACTGGGAATGTGACCTTGGGTAAACCATCCAACTCTACCCTAAGTTTGTTGTTTTTTATTAAGTGATATTCCCTAGTAATTAATAATATTTGAGAAAGCAGCAAAAGGACTATTTTCTATCCCCTTATAAAGAAGCTTCTAAAATGTCAATATTACCCAGAAAAAATAACTATTAAAACAACACAGAAACACTGTTTTTCTTAGGCACCTAAGGTATCAGAGCTGCAATGCCCCCACCCGTACATTACTAGTATAATTGTTCATTTGCATTCACTTTTCTGAAGCAAATTAGTACATTTTGAAATCCATATTTCATGGAGCTACTTAACTAATTGCTGCAATCAGCAGCAAATTATTATAGTAGGGCTGCTAAATCGCTCTGAGGTTGGCATACCATGCACAGTGTGTTTTTTATGGTCATTTTTTTAATGATGAGTTTTAATAGGGAAAAATTGTTAATTTGTTAATATTCTCCTGAAAGCCTAACTTGGGTCCTCTGTTTTTTCTTTGCCCAATGGTAACTTAAAAGGCCATGGCAAAGTCACTGACCCAGCCGGTGCACCAGCTGCCGAGGGGCTGTCCTATTTAGAAGGACAGAAAGAGAGAAAGAGCACCCTGTTTTTCCTCTTGTTTGGAGACCCTCATTAAATTACTCAGAAACAATAATCAGATAGCTGCTGTTCAAGTTAATGGCACCTCTGAGTCCCTGTCAAGAGGGCTTTATTTAATGTGCAACAGACCTGGAGTGATGCAGGTGCCTTTTCAGGCCCTCATTTAATTTAAGCTGCTTTTGTTGGCATGGCAACTAGTTGAGACATCTGGGAGACATTATGCTGGGGATTGAGACTTCAGAGGATTTCTGCTAGAGCAAAGCAGAAACCTTATTATAAAGTGATATGTGTGGCTTCTAAATTTCTGCACCTACATTGTTAAGTCTTCACATTCAGGAATTGTATTTTCCAGAGAAATAAATTTGTAAAAGGTCAGCCTGGTTGTTGACTTGTTTTCTATGAAGAAAAAACTGGTTTGCTTGAGGAGTGAAAAATATATTTCCAACTAAAGCTTGTCGAAACATAATCTCTGCTGAGTGGCTATTTTAATCAGTTTGTAAAAATTACACATTTGAAATATTTTCAGACTGTTCTATTTAGTAAGGGGAAAGCATATCTGTACAAAGATAAACCTAATGGTAAGGTAGCCTGGCCTGAATGGCTCAGAGGTTGAGAATCAACCTACAACCAGGAAGTCACGGTTCAATTCCCAGTCAGGGCACATGCCGTGGTGTGGGCTCAGTCCCCAGCTGGAGGCGTGCAGGAGGCAACCAATCAATGATTTTCATCATTGGTGTTTCTATCTCTTCCTTTCCCTTCCTCTCTGAAATTAATAAAAATACAAATTAAAAAAAGACAATTATTTTTAAAATGGTAAAGATAGGCAGGGCCTCTTTGTGGTTTTGCCATAGACTTTCTGGTTAAAATAAGAGTTTGTTACACATATAATTCCTGGATTTTAAAAAATGGAAATAAATAAATAATAAAATAAAAATTTCAAAACAAACAAAAAGTTTAATAACTGACCCCCATTCTTCTCTAACCCAGTCTGGCATCTCAAAAAGCAGAGATATGAAAGTAGCACTCTTAAACTCTCCTTTCTTAAATATTATAACAGGAAATTGAATGAAAGGTTTTAAGTTCACTGATCCTGAGCACAGAGACATGGAGATCTAGTCATTTGTGTTTAGCAGAGGGAATACCTCCTGGTTTATATTTTGGGAAATTAAAATTAAAATTTTTTGTGAGAAATTAAGCACATAGGTATGTGGTTTTAATGTAGAAGAATTGACTTATCATGCTCTATATTTTAAACACTTCACTTTTCAATTTTTTGATATTTGGTAATACTTGTGTTAGGTTGAACCATATTTTTGTTGGTCAAAATGGTCCCATATTGTCCATTCAAATCCAGTAGGTCAGCAACACCCTGATCAGGAAATAATATTTTGTAAAAAATGGCAAATAAAATGTATTTTTTTTTCTGAAATGAATAATTACTTTTTAAATATCTGTTAAGAATAGGACCATGCCAACCAGACAGAGTTTTCTTTTTCCTCTTTCTTTGAGAATATAGTCACTGTCAGAAGAAAGCATATGACATTATTTTGTACTTATTCTCTGTTTTTGGTTCATGTATCACTTTATTTCTTTTATAAATCAAAACAAGATTTTTCCAGGACCAGCACTATGAATTCAAACTGATAACTTGAAAATTAAGGAGTTTTGTCTCTGCTGCTTGCATGCATACCAAATGTGTCTACTGACAGTAAAGATTCTGGCATCATAAGTTGGCTGCCAGTTTTGTGGATATGGGAGACAGAATAGAATAGAATCTGCTCTTCACTTCAATGCAATAAATTTTCAATCCTGGCAGGAACAAAAAATTGTCAATTAACCCAGCAGACATGACTGACATCCCACAGTGCTTCGTACTCTACTCTGTTTAGGATTCCCCCCCTGAATAAAACCTCAAGTGACAATACAATACAGTGGTGGCAGTTGTGAAGTGTTTCTGGTTTGGTTTTGTTGCTTTGTTTTTTCCTTGGGTAATATTTCTTTGTCATTGTCCCTTGAGATTCCTGGAACCAACTCAAGAATATTGGTACCTGATTAAAGCTTAATGGTACCAAGAGAAGATTTTTCCTGACGCTATCCTATGATTACAATTCTAGTGGGAAATTTTTTTCACTACAGGGTTAATATTCTTAATTTGTAAAGCACTCTTACAAATAAAAATTATCACCCCAGTAGAAAATTGAGCAAAGGACAAGAATAATTTTCTCTCTCTCTCTCTCTCTCTCTCTCTCCTTCTCTCTCTCTCTCTCTCTCTCTCTCTCTCACACACACACACACACACACACTCTTTTCCTTTTTTTCTCATGCATATGTGGCCAATAAACATGTAATCAGTTTTTAACGTGAAAACATGGTTGATAAAACATATTCTTGCTGCCAGTCCTTCCTGCAGAGCCCATAAAATGTCAGTAAAGGATTAAAAATTGCAAGAGGCAGAAGCCTGTGCCAGCAATAGTGAGAACCCAACAACAGGTTGGTTCTTGTTATAGAATATCAGAACAGCTCAGAAATTGGAAACATCTGGTATCTCAGAAAGTAGAGATGCAGGTAGGCCTAAATTCAGGATTGGTTGCAAGCCTCTGTAAAGTAATAAGTTTAAATCTTAGAGTGGCTAGAACCTAGTAGGTGCTCAGTAGTGCATTCACTCAATAGATTCAGGCATTGTTTCTGATAGATATGAATGAAATAGATAGAGAGAGAGAAACATCAATGATGAGAGAGAAACATCGATCGCTGCCTCCTGCACACCTACTGAGGATGTGCCCACAACCAAGGTACATACCCTTGACTGTTATCGAACCCGGGACCCTTCAGTCTACAGGCCGACACTCCACTGAGCCAAACTGGTTAGGGCTGGTTTATGTTTTTCCTATATTTTTATCATTGTTTTTGAGTGTATTTCTACTTTAAAAAATTTTTTTTGAAAAGTTAGCCATATTATGCAGCAGCTTCATATATCTCATATTTACCGTGTCTTTTGATTGCACCATTTTCTCCTGTGCTTGATTTAATCTTGTGTTGTTTTATTCATCATGGCCCCTAAACATACAAAATCTACTGCTAATGTTGCTAGTAACAGACTATGTTGAGTGATTGACTTGGAAATGAAATTAAAAGTGATTCAGGACTTTTCCACAAAGATGGAAAATCAGATGGTTATTGGTCAGTCAAGCATGCCCCATTCCACCATAGGTATGATCTTGAAGAACAAAGTGATGGAAGCTGTTGAAGGATCTGCTTCATTGAAGGCATCAAGACCAAAAAAAATTTGAGAAGAGCCTATATCAAACATGGAGAAACTTCTAGTGACCTACATTGATGACCAAGCACAGAAGCATGTCCTTATAACCCCCATAGCAATCATGGCCAAAGCAAAAGGCTGGACTTGACTACAATATTGAATTTACTGCTAACTCTGGGTGGTTTAAATGATCAAAGAATTGTTATTCATTACATCATGTGAAAGTGATTGGTGCATCTGCAAATGCTGATGTGAAGAATTTTTGAAAATTCTAGATAAGTGATTGAGGAGGAAGATTACTTGGTTGCAGGCACAGCCCCAGTTGGGGCTGTGCAGGAGGCAGCTGATTGATGATTCTCTCTCATCGATGTTTCTAACTCTCTATCCCGCTCTTCCTCTCTCTAAAAAGTCAATTAAATATATATTTTTAAAAGAAAAAAAATTTAAGTTTATAAAGTAAAAAAGTTATAATAAGCTACAGTTACTTTATTATTGAAGAAAGAAAAATATTTTTTGGCAAATTTAGTATAGCTTTAGTGTCCACTACTCTCCCAGAGCAATTTCCAGCCCTACAGGCTTCATGCATGGTAAATGTCCTATGCAGATGTACTTTTTTTTTTTTTTTACACCATATTTTTACTGTACCCTTTCTCTGTTTAAATACACAAATACCATTGTGTGGCAGTTGCCAACAGTATTCAGTACATGCTGTAAAGGTTTGTAGCCTAGGAGCAGTAGGCTATACCATCTAGGTTTGTGTAAGTACCCTCTGTGATGCTCACACAATGACAAAATCACTTAATGATGCCTTTCTTAGAACATATTCCCATCAATAACGGATGCATTATTTTACATAAATCATAAAACTCAAAGTGAGTTCTCGACTGCAGGCAGACTGAGACATGAATCTGTCCTATTCTATTGTAGATATACCAAAAGACTCACCTTTGCAAGAGTTCTGAATTCCACATCTTCATTGTTCCACAGGCTCCCGCCTTGGATTATCTGCTGTGTGTTCATTGAGCAAAACCCTGAGAATATAGCAGAATATAAAGCATGGGAAGCTTAAATTTTAATAAGGAAGACATAAATATATTAAAAAGTTAAATAAGAGAATTTAAGATTGCATGACAACTTCAATTTGAAATAACCATTTTACACATTTTTAGGAGTACTGTACTTAGAAATGACAGTTGAGCCGGGACCGGTTTGGCTCAATGGATAGAGCGTCGGCTTGGGGACTGAAGGGTCCCGGGTTCGATTCCGGTCAAGGGCATGTACCTTGGTTGTGGGCATATCCCCAGTGGGGGGGGTGCAAGAGGCAGCTGATCGATGACTCTCTCTCATTGATGTTTCTAGCTATCTGTCTCCCTTCCTCTCTGTACAAAAAATCAATAAAATATATTTAAAAAAATAAAAATGACAGTTGATAAGTAGGTCATCATCTTTTCCATTGGTGACGTGGTAGCCTAGGGTGAGACTACCAACTCTCTCATTTGAAATAGATTCTAAGTCTGGTCTCCACACTCTTCCTGGCCTGGCTGTAATTTAAAATGTTTACCCTTATTTTTCCTCTTTATAACGATGATTATAGGGAAGTCACTTGGTGGTTGTGCTAACTTTTAAACAGTAAATTCTTAAAGTTTTGCAATGTCTTATCTTCTGAGGGCCGGGTTCTCACTTCTATTATGTTGTCCAGAAACTTTCTTTTCCTAAGCTTTTACTAGCCTTAAAAATAGAAGTTATTTTGACCTGGAGCCCACTTTGAGGGAATTGGGGGCTGAATTCTCTGAACTCTCCTTAACTTAATGCCTCAAGATATGTTGTCACAGAATTGATGCAGAGTGACCTACATAAAATTATCGTGTCTCCTCAACCACTCAGCTCAGATCATGTCAAAGTTTTTCTTTATCAGATTTTGCGAGGTAAGATTTTCTTTATCAAGAAAAAGATAGTGTCACTGTGTAAATGAAATGTTTTACTTTTCATTTGACCTTTAATCTGACCTTCCAATGTTTTCTTTTTTCCTAAATACTTTTTTTCTTTTGACCAAGGTCTAGTTAATAATCTCTATACTTGATGTTAAATAAGAGGCTTTTAAGGATAGCCAAATGGTTCTTATTTTTAGTGATGAAATAGAGTGCCCTGTCTAATTTATTAGGCAGTTGAGTAGGTCAGTCTATACAGGTGAATAAGCAGGATGGTTTGCTAAGCAGCAGTGGTTTAGTACGAAATGACTATTAGTAAATTGAGAAATCACTATGTGTTCCCTATGGATGTCATCCTTTCTTTAAGCCAGTTTTAGGTCGTCCTGATCAGAGTGTTGGCTGAATCCAACTCTAGGAAAACAAAATGATTATTAAAGTGAAAGCATGGAGGAGACTGATAGAAACAGCCAACTAAATTATTCTCAGTTCTGGTTTATTAAAGAGCAAGGACTTGATAGAGAAGCGGTTTGGGCTAACAGTGATGGAGTTTTCTCTGGCCATGAGGTGCGTGCTTCAGAATTTTTGCTATTATAAATTGAGAACAGTTTAAAGCTGAAACAGCTTTTTGACCTAAAAAATACTCCCCCACTTCCCACTGCCAAGATTCATGGAATTAAGACATTCTTTATAAGATTGAAAAGCATCAGCCAAAACATACGCACAATATTAAAACTAAAAAGCCCACCTTCTATAGTTGTGTGTTGCTATTCAGCAGAGGGTGGAGAGGGGAGATATTGGAATTTTTTTATTCTTGTACAAAATGTGATTTGCTATATTTTATTCAAAAGACAAGCCTTAAAGTTATGACCTTTTTCTGGCAGTGCTAAAACTCCCTGTCTTTTAAAGTGTAGTTTATTACCCTCTGGATTCTCAGGGGTGGAGATACTACCAACAAACCTGGGCAAGTTTCTAAATGTTGTTGCTTCAGTGAGTATCCTGGGAAAGTCCTGAGAAGGGCTCCCTGTCGGTTGATGGGAAGTATTTTGTTGGAGCATGCTCAGAATCACAGGTTTGGGGTCATCAATAGGAGAACTCCAATAGCCATACTTAGAGTAACTTAAGGATAATTGTCAGCAGCATTTGGGCCAGAAAAGCTTATCTATACACAAACCTAAATAATCTTTTGAATTGTAGGTATTATCTCTAGATTATGTAAACTTTTTATGACTATTTTACTGTAGCAAAATTATATTTTTTTGAGCTAAGACTAAATCAAGCTTTTTAATCATGATCACTCCGCAGTTAGTTAGGGAACCATTTAAAATCCTGTATTCTCTGTTTCTATGGTTTTCCCAGATTAGTGGTTGAATAAAAGGAATTAAATATCTGCACTTAAATCTGCTTATTATTTCAGGTTTGAAATATCTCCATTCAGCTGGCATTTTACATCGAGACATTAAGCCAGGGAATCTCCTTGTGAACAGCAACTGTGTTCTAAAGGTAGTTTTTCCGTTTATTTAAATATCTGAGAAAAACAGAATGTCAAGGCAGATTTAAGAAAAATACGTTTTTTAGAAAGAAATCCTTATTATTATTTTCATCACTTAACCAAAAATTAAAGAACCCAGTTTTCTCTAGTGATATCTCTAGTCATGGCTATTGTAACTAATTTGTAGTATTGCCTCGGTTTCTTCATGATACTTTGCATATGTTTTGGAAAACCTGAAATTGGAATTACAGTGGAACTAAAATATTATAATAGAGAAGGTGATTTCTTTTCAGATTATTCCATTATTAAAGGAAGTATATATCGGAGGAAATACCGAAAGACCAGTAAGATTCTATTTATATGAAAATGAAGTATGACTTTTTTAAGAAAACTGTGTTTTTACACAGCTAACATTTTTATATGCTGTTAGAGGTAGCAAAATAGGAAAGTGGAAACATTTAAAAGTGAAAACACTAAGCTAGAAAGGAGTCAAGTGTTTATCTGTTAATACATATACAGTATTCTCTTCTGAAGGAGAATTGCTTATGGGATTAATTATAGTTAGCCCAGAATTTTCATGTTAATTAACATTTTTACTTTTCCTCTAATACCACTTCCTCCCCATTGTCTTTGTTAGTGACTCACAAATAGCAAAAACCACATATGTGCATTTCCCCATCACTAATAAAGATACATTTTAGCAGAACTCCTAAAAAGTGAGAGATCCACCATATTTTCCCCCATCATAGGAATTACAGATAAAGGTCTTCCTGGGGCTGTGTCATCTCTGTGTGAGAAAATTAAAATTCCACTTATGAGTAATGACAGTATTTATGGTGCTTCACCTACAATAGATGTAAAATCTTAACGTTTTAACTGACATATATGAAAAAGAAAAATTTTTAAAGTGTTTTCTACTTTATTTTTTTTTAATATATTTTATTGATTTTTTACAGAGAGGAAGGGAGAGAGATAGAGAGCTAGAAACGTCGATGAGAGAGAAACATCGACCAGCTGCCTCTTGCACACCCCCTACCGGGGATGTGCCCACAACCAATGTACATGCCCTTGACCGGAATCGAACCTGGACCTTTCAGTCCGCAGACCGATGCTCTACCACTGAGCCAAACCGGTTTCGGCAAAATGTTTTCTACTTTAATCAACAGGGGGGAGGAGACAGGTGAAAAAAGTGAAGGGTACTAAGAGGTACAGATTTCCAAGTTAAAAATAAAAGTAATCCAGACTATCATTATTGCTTAGCTTGTTTGTAGATAAACTAAATATTAAAGCCAAATATATGTGAATTTCACTTTTTATTTTAAGTGCTGTCTTTCCACTGTATGCCAGTTTTCTTTAAAAACTGGTGCGTTATGCTGCTTTTGAATAAAAATTTTCTCTTCATACAGTTTCAAGAACTTTGTTCCTGTTTTGACCCTAGAAAGCTAAAAATCTATTTTTCATATTTTATCTGAAAACAGCTAAAGTTGTAGTTTGGTCTTTTGTTTCCACAAAGAAATTAATTATCCCCAAAATTCCTTGAAGTAAATATTCCATCATAGGTCATTGGGTTCATTCCCCTGCTACCTATCCCCATTCAAAAACTAAAAGTATGTATAAACCTTATAGTCAGGAATTCTTTGTTCTATTCAGACCAAGTCAGTTTTATGACAACTTAGCCAGTTTCTTATTTCAGTTTCTGTTGGGAGAACTTCACAAAGCATTTTGTGTTTTAGCTGTCATGCTTGATGCCATTAACTGCTTGAGGTCTATTTTCCAAATTGTCTGTTATGGTAACCTCTGGCTACATGAATAAGTAACTAAAGGAAAATGTCATTTATGCATAAACAACACAAATTGAAATTTTTCTCTGCTCCCTTGACTTGTCTCTGTGGCCTACTTTTAAAAACCATAGTAGAATGAAGGCTCTCTCTTCTCAAATGTAAAATTCATCAAAAATATTATGGTAAAATATTTTTTATTTTTAAAACAATTTTTAATTGATTTTTTTAGAGAAAGAGGAAGGGAGAGGAAGAGAGAAAATGATGTGAGAGCGAAACATTGATTGGCTGCCTCTTGCACGCCCTCTACTGGGAATCGAGCCTGAAACTTGGGCATGTGCTCTGACCAGACATTGAACCTGCAACCTTTCAGGGCACAGGACCATGCCCAGCCAAATGAGCCACACTGGCCAGGGCATGATAAGACATTTATTTTAAATTAAATTAGTATCTTCTCATTATGATTTATTTTGTTTCCTGTTAAGCACAAAATGGGTAATTTTGCTTGAAATCTCAAATATCTTTTTGGTTATCTGATCATATAAACTTTTTACTTTGATGTAGCTTGTATTCCAGATAAATTGCCAAAAATGATTCCATATCAGGCTGATGTTTTGTTTTGTTTAAAAACATTCTTACTGATTTTTTTACAGAGAGGGGGAGAGAGAGAGAATGATAAACATTAATGTGAGTGTGAAACACCAATCATCTGTCTCCCCACGCTCCCCAGTGGGGGAGCAAGCCTGAAACCCGGACATGTGCCCTGACCAGGAATCGAACTGGCCACCTCTCAGTGCACAGGAAAATGCCCAATCAACTGAGCCACACTGGCTAGGGTGCCAGACTGATATTTTTACCAAAGGACTTGCTTTATAACAGAAAACACTTCTTGTTGGGTGGGTGGTGGGGTGTTTGTTTTTTAAATGTGAGTACAAAAAAGATATAGGAGAGTGGAAATATGTTCTTTGCTTCTGTTTTGTTTTTTAAAATATGATAAAAATTCATGGCCAACCAATAGAGTTTTTAAAATTCTGTGTTATTGAACACTAGCCTATATAGTATTTGAATATCCCCATATACAAATACAAATTCATTTGATGGGACCAGACATAATAAATTGAAGACAGAAAGAGAGAATTGCCAAAAATTAGGTGTAAAATTTGTTTCCATTGAAGTAATGGTATTTTATTTTTTTCAAATAAAATCATATGCAAGGACCTCAACTTAGAAAACAGACAACTTAGAAAAAGTGTTATTTTGTCATTTAAAATATTGACTCATAAAGTTAATAAGTGGAGCACTGGAGCTTAGATGGCCATTACTCTCTTATCCTCAATGCTCCCATTGTTTGTTTTGGTTGCCCAGTATCAAGAAAATCTTAATTTCTAAAAGTAAGCAGAAGTTGCTGGCACTGCAACTATTTACTAACAGCTCACCTTGCAATCTCAGCATACTTTTTAGTTGAAAAGAAAAACCAAAAAAGATTTATTTTTAGGTCTGCATATTTATTAACCAGTCTTTCTCATTTACTGTTGTGTCTCCAGGTTCTAGGATACTGCCTAAAACATACAGGCACTCAATTAAATATTTATGGCATGAAGAAACGAATGAATCTAGTAGAACTGGTATTATATAGTTTACTACTTTTTTATATGCTCACACATTTGAGTATGCATTAGTCTTTTAAATAGATACACGTGAAGTTTAAGTACAGTGGTTATGGAACTCCTAAAATACCTCCTGCGAACTATATTTAGCAGGATTCAATTTGAAACCTATATAAGCTTTAAAGAAATTTTACTACATATATTCCATAATGATAGTGAACAGAGCTCAGGAAGTCTTCAGGTTATACTTTTTAAATAATGTCTTCCTCCATAAGCCAGCCTTGAAAATAGATAACTTAGCTTCTGTATTATAATAAATTAGAAAAACTCACTCAGCTAGGGTTTTTTTGTTGTTTTCAACTGAAAACATTAAAGGTGAGAAGCCTACTTTTAAGAGACATCATTTTATATAAAAATATGGAAATTTGAGAGTTTTCTTTCCTCTTTTCCAAATTATATATTGACACAAATATTCTCTATCTATATAACTGAAAACTTTCAAAGTTCAAAGATCTATCAAGATTTTGGCTTTTTGTTGTCTTGTTTTGCTTTACCATTTGTCTGTTTGACAATATCTTGAAAATCTTTTCTATTTAGATTTGTGATTTTGGATTGGCCAGAGTGGAAGAATTAGATGAATCTCGTCATATGACTCAGGAAGTTGTTACTCAGTATTACCGGGCTCCGGAAATCCTGATGGGCAGCCGTCACTACAGCAATGCTATTGACATCTGGTCTGTCGGATGTATCTTTGCAGAACTACTAGGACGAAGAATACTGTTTCAGGCACAGAGTCCCATTCAGCAAGTATGATATCACTTTAGGCTTCAGAAACTTCCAATTCTAATAACAGACTTAAAAGAAAAACTATCTTGCATATATGCCTTGGGCTTATTCATTGTACTGTCTAAATTGCTTTTAGAATATTCAGGTTCCCTTACAATTCAGAAAGTTACGAAGTTGCAGATTACAGAGAGAATCATTTTATAACTTTCGGGCCTGTTGGGGGGGGTTCACTTTATTACATGCTCGGGCCGAGCAGCAGCCTGCTGTAACAATTTGCACAGCTATAATCTTCAGTTGTCGGAGGGCCTCTGTTCCTTTGGCTGACTAGGTCTGACTTGAAAATGTATTTGGTAGCTTAATGTACTTACACTTTATGCTTAGAACATAAGTTTTGAGTGCTGGCTTCTTTAAATCTAAACATTTAGACACATTTCTAACCTTTATTATTGGGCTAAAATATTTCTGTATGGCAGAAAACATCAGGAGCTGATTAAAATGTAGCTTTGGGGCACCATAATGCTTTCATTGTCTGCCTTTATAGCTAATTCATTACTACACATATTTTCTTGGGATAATTTTTAATTATTTTTTGTTCATAAATTTTAACAGTATTATTTGTTTGAGAATAATGTAACAATGATGAGCTTAGGCTGTGAATCAAATTGGTGGGTTCAGATCTTAGCTCTGCTACCTAACTATTAAATCTTGGCCAAGTTAAACTGTTCTGAGGATTGTTATACAGATTAAATGAAATAGTAAAGCTGAAAATAAGGCCTGGCATATAGTAAGCACTCAAGAAACATAATGGTGGTGGTATACCAGGATGCCAGGATTGTGTCAGTAAATAAGACAAAGTTAGTTCCTGCCTTTGTGAAACTTTTTCATGATACAGAAATTAAGTAAGTATACAAATAAATAATCCCAAGTAATGATAAATTCTTTGAAGAAAAAGTAAACCAGCCCTAGCCAGTTTGGCTCAGTGGATAAAGCATTGGCTGGTGGACCAAAGGGTCCTGGGTTCAATTCTGGTCAAGGGCACATACCTTGGTTGCAGGCTCCTCCTCCGCCCTGGCCCTGGCCCTGGTCGGGATGTGTGCAGGAGGCAACCAATCGATGTTTTTCTCACATCTTGTTTCTCTGTCTTTCCCTCTCTCCTACACTCTAAAAGATCAATGGGAAAATATTTTCAGGTGAGGATTGAAAAAAAAAAAATTAAACCAGGTTGAGATAGAAAATGCCGATGGAGCAGAGCAGCACTAAGGAATTCTCTGAGGAAATAACATTGAGAGTGACCCAAGTGAAATGAGAGAAGCACGGTCTGGGAAAGAGTCTTCCAGGAAAAGGGACACCAGCATAATAGAGCTTCTGAGGCAGGAGCAGGTGTGGCATGTTGGGGGCATCCTCAAGGAAGAGCACGTAGGCGCTGAGGTCGGAGAAGCCTGGCCGCGGCAACCTGATGAGGCTTTGGGTTTTTCTTCTCTGCAAAGTGTGATGGGAAACGATGTGAAGGTTTTGAGCAAGGGTGTGTTAAAATTTGATCACCCTGACTACTGTGGATCTTTGTAAATAATTCATGTACTTGACCAAAAATGGAATCTTTTTTTTTTTATTCTCTTTCTACAAAGAGTCGTTAACTGATACATTAGAAACTGCATATGCTATGATCAACATTTAAATTTATTTCTCTACACATATTCAAAGTCAATTTTTTAAGGTTTACATCTTAAAAATTGATCCTAGTAACAGAAAACTTATATATAATTTAATGTTGATTACTATTGACAGTATCAATATTTTTGGAAAGTAAAGTTTAATAGACTTCCCTGAAAGACTATCATTATATTTGGACATGAGGAGCTGCCATACAAAAAAGCTTAAGTAATATGATAAACAAGGAACTTGCCAGGTCATGGGCTGCTTCTGAAAAGAATATTTAAAGAAAAGTGTGAGGCAACTGGGATGGGATGCAAATTATCTCCTTTTCTAGAGAAATGCATAGGTCTTGAGTTTGCCAGTGTGGCATAGCCACTGAAGGAGAATTCTCATTTATCTATCTATCATTAGTGTATTTTTTTTTTTTTTAATATATTTTATTGATTTTGTACAGAGAGGAAGGGAGAGAGAGAGAGAGTTAGAAACATCGATGAGAGAGAGTCATCGATCAGCTGCCTCTTGCACACCCCCTACTGGGGATATGCCCGCAACCAAGGTATATGCCCTTGACCGGAATCGAACCCGGGGCCCTTCAGTCCCCAAGCCGACGCTCTATCCATTGAGCCAAACCGGTCTCGGCCATTAGTGTATTTTTGAGTGAAATATCAAGGTCTAAAGTGGAAAAAGATTCTAATTTCTAAATGGAAGTAGTTATTTTCTGTAGCATTTTCTTTGCATTTTTTGAGAAATAAATAGCCTAGGTTTTGTAATATCAGCAACTTCATAAAAATATTTCTCATCCATGGATCTGACCCATTTTAGACAATTTTCTGAATGGATCCATTTGTTTTCATGAACCAGTCATTTCCTTCTGCCTTTAAGGGTAGTTGTCAGAGGTCCAAAAGTACCACCAACATACTTTTCCCAAAAAGCTTTGCATAGAGATCTTTACTTGTGTACGCAGATACCTCCGTTATCCCGGAGGGCAGGGATACTGATGGTACCCCCCAGGTCAGGTGCGTGCAGAAGGAAATGGTGCTTTATATTTGACAAATCTGGCACCAGGAAAAGAAGTATTCTCTAGGGAAGAATTTTCCATTTTGGAGGAATTGGAATGAAATGTTATTGCTAATTAGGCTGTGAGATTAGAACAGTTGTAGCACTACAGAAAATTGTGAAGGTGCTTTGGTACATACAAAGGCTTGTTTGTGAGAAGACCGTTTTTATTGGTCTCTTTTATTGTGCCCAGTTAACTAAATGAGGCCTTATTCGACATCATAGTTAGATTCTAAGTACCACAGTTTCCTGTCAGTGTAAGAGATTTCTAGCATAATGAGAATATAAAGGGGTGCATAGCTGCCTCAAACATTGATGGCTTAGCTTTAATTTCAGGTGTGAATGTTCTAAGTATTTACTAAATCTCAGCTGCCTGATCTGTGGATTAGCTCCTTGATGAGCCTGAGTCCATGTGAAGCATCAGAATCTATTCATTAACGTTTGAAAATAATAGTGATTAGCCATCAGCCAAAGAGCAGTTCATAGATCCTGTGCAAGGATCATAGCTGCTGTGGTATCAAGACACAGGGGTAGAAGCACACTCCTAAATGACTACAGCTGCAGAAGGCTATGTTTGCCAAAACATGTTTTCTATAAACCTATCATATAGGTCCCTAATATTTTTATAGGGGTTTTTAATAGTCCAAAAAGTAAAAATAGGAGCTCCTATTGGGTAATTTGTCTTAGGTTTATTTCCCCAAATTTCATCCTCATCACTAATAAAAAGTTGTTTTCATGAGCTTACTACCCATGTATTTCGTGTTTCCTTATAGTTGGATTTGATCACGGATCTCTTGGGCACACCATCACTGGAAGCAATGAGGACGGCTTGTGAAGGCGCTAAGGCACACATACTCAGGGGTCCTCATAAACAGGTAAAAGGAGAAGGAAGGGATCTGAATTTGGTAACCCTCTCTTTGAGCAGGATTTTCCTTCCAACAGAATAATGAAGTTAGATTTTTTTAATTTATTTTTTTTTAATCCTCACCCGAGGATATTTTTTCCATTGTTTTTTTTTTTTTTTTTTTTTTTTTTTAGAGAGAGAGAGGGGATAAGAGGGAGAGGACGGGGAGAGAGCAAGAGAGAGAAACATTGACATCAATAGGTTGCCTCCCACTTGTGCCCCAAGAAGGGCGAGGGGAGAACCAAACCTATAACCGAGGTACATGCCCTTTGGCTGAGAATCAAAATCGTGATACTTCGGTCCACAGATTGATATTCTCTAGCCACTGAGCCAAACCTGTCAGGGCTGAAGTGAGAATTTTTAAACAAAAACATTACGTGTAGCCCTGCCTGAGGTGCCTCAGTTAGTTAGGTGTCATCCCATGTGCCGAAAGGTTGGTGGGCCGAGAGCGGTTTGGCTCAATGGATAGAGGGTCGGCTTGGGGACTGAAGGGTCCCGGGTTCGATTCCAGTCAAGGGCATGTACCTTGGTTGTGGGCATATCTCCAGTAGGGGGTGTGCAAGAGGCAGCTGATCGATGTCTTTCTCTCATCGATGTTTCTAACTCTCTACCTCTCTCCCTTCCTCTCTGTACAAAATCAATAAAATATATTTAAAAAAAAAAAAAAGAAAGAAAGGTTGGTGGTTCGATTCCAAGTCAGGGCACATGCCCAGATTTTGGGCTAGATCTCACGTAGGGGGCTGCAGGAGGCAGCTGATCAGTGTTCCACTCACATCAATTTTTCTCTCTCCTCTTCTCCCTTTCTCTCTCTCTAAAATACATTTTTTAAAAACCACCATATCACTTGTAAGTTTTATTTATCCTGTATATCATTTGTTTGTAAGTAAGAAAATGTTAGATGCAATAAAATACAGTAATTTCTAATGCTATAGGAGAAAGAAAGTATTTTTGTAGTGCCCTTGCTAATAAATGATCCCTGGTATTTTTGTGTTTTGGTTTTTTGATGTGTCTGGTAAAAGTTAGTAAGGGTGGAGCTTTAACCTCAGTGCCATAACCTAATACTTATATATCAGAATGTCCTTTCCAAATACTGAACCAAAATACCTCGTATTTCTTAATGCAGCTGTGAATGTGAAGCTGTGTCTATTGCACTCTTGCCACTAACTCACAAGCAGATGCACAGACACAAAGGCAATGAGTAAAACCAGCCCAAACCAGTAAATAGGGTTGTAGATGCTGGTATTTTATATAGCCCCTGCCTGGTGCGTTCTCCCTCACCTGTCCCTCTGGGAGCACAAGAGCACACCTCCTTCCCCCTCCCATGTCCCTTCCCCAGGTGCATTACCTTTCCCTCTCCCTCTCCTAAGCTCCAAGGGCCCTTCTTTTGCCTCTGAAGCCTGCTTTCTGAGCCTGCACAGCCCAGCTGGCTCACTGCTACTGCCTCTGTAACTCTCTAAGTAAACTATGACATAATTTGAGGCCCTAATTTCTTTAGAAGAGAACAGTAAGTCTTAACCCACAGGAAGGTTCCATATTATTAGAAGGAACTAAAAAGATCTATTATGTTTTATATATTAGCCAATATCAGGAATATTAAACTATTTTATTAGTACCTCATGGTAAATGTGTCCTTGGAAATAGCAAAATAGTTTTCCTGTTTTACTGACCTCTTTTGGTCAGATTTTAACTATTGCTAGTGGTTGCCAGTTAATTCATCCTGTGTATCAGAGTTACTAAACAGCAACCAAGAGAACCAGACTTCCTAAGGAATTTCCCGCCTGCTTCCTGAACAGCTCAAAAATATAACTTACTGCACCAAAAGTCACTGCACTCCTTTGAGAATTCCTGACAAATAAGTCCTTTTTTGTATTACTGATTTTAAAAATCTGTTAGTTGTAAAAACCTAGAACTTTAAATTAAATAAAAAAAATAGTGAATGTCATTATTATCTAAAACAAAGGGTTGAAAAAAGGAAAATGTAACTTGTTAAATAGTTTAAGAGTTTTAGCAGAATTCTTTCTTACACATTTTTACATGAATTGGCTTCATAACAGTAATGCCTCTTAGAGTTTGACATTTTGCTTATCACTAAGTTTAGTGATGGCATTAAGAGAGCACCATGGTGCTGAAACCGGTTTGGCTCAGTGGATAGAGCGTTGGCCTGCAGGCTGAAAAGTCCCAGGTTCGATTCCGGTCAAGGGCATGTATCTTGGTTGCGGGCACATCCCCAATGAGGGGTGTGCAAGAGGCAGCTGATCGATGATTCTCTCTCATCGATGTTTCTAACTCTATCCCTCTCTCTTCCTCTCTGTAAAAAAAAAATATATATATCAATATATGAGAGAGAGCGCACCATGGTAAAAGTTGGGGATGGCTCTGGCTAGTCTTGAGATGAAAATATTTTCATTTAGAAGTGAAGACTGGTGGAGTAAAAACTACGGAAACCATTTCTGCTCAAAAGTCAGATATGCTTTTCACAGATCTTTAGAGGACTTTTAACCAGTGCTGGGAAGGGCCTTACTGGCTCATGTAACTGAAAAGTCTTGAGCTACAGCTGACTTCAGTCCCTGCTGGATTCAGGTAGTCAAGTGATGTTCCAAACCAGGAATCTGACTCTCTTCTCTTCTCTGTTTTTCTGTGTGCTGGCTTCATTTTCAGACAGTCTTTCCCTCATATGTTTGTAAAAATGGACCCAATAGTCCTGGCCTATGTTCTACTAGCATATCAGTCATTTGGGAAAGAGCTTTTCCAAATAGACCCAGAAATAATATTTGGAAATTCTCTGATTTAGTTATAAATTGTTTGATTATAAGTAATAGAAAATCTTGTTTACAGTAGTTCAAAGAAATAATTCATTTTTTTCCTCATCAATTTCAGTGGTAGGCAGTCTAGATCTGATACAGCAGCTCAATTATGTCATCGAGGATCTAGTTTTTTCCTTTCTTTCTCCTCTGCCATCTTTAGAATGTTGACTTCATACTGTCTCACTTATCGCCGCGGATCACAAAATAGCTGTAGCTTATCCAGAAATCATATCCACTTTCAGAGCAAGTAAAAGAAGGAAAGAGGGAGGACTAGCAGTCTCTGTCCCTTTTGTCAGGAAAGCAAAGTTTTCCAAGAAGCCTGCCTAACGAACTTTTGCTTATATGTCATTTTCCAGAACTGTGTGATATGTGCCCTCCCAGATGCAAGACAGGCTTAAAAAATGAGAATTTTCTATCTCATATAATGAAGGTAAATAAGGGAGAAGAGGATTGGGGTATGTGTTGGATTAGCCATTCCATGTCCCTTACATTTTTTATTTTTTAGACCATGTACTTATCCTGGAGCCAGTGATGATGCTCAGGCAAATATATCATTTGGTTGTCCAGGCCTGGGTCACGTGCCATCCTTGGAGTTGGGAGATTGAAATCCAGGCCACCCAAACCACTTGAGAGTGAGAAGAGAATAGTTCCCTAAAGGTCAGGGAATGCTGGGTAGACAAAAACACTGCACGGTGTTGTATGTTTTGTTTTTTAAATACATTTTTTATTAATTTTAGAGAGGGAGATAGAAACATCAATGATGAGAGAATCATTGATCGGCTGCCTCATGCTCACCCCCTACTGGGGATCGATCCTGGAATGAAGTATGTGCCCTTGACTGGAACTGAACCCAGGACCCTTTAGTCCACAAGTCGATGCTCTACCCACTGACCCAGACCAGCTAGGGCTGTACAGTGTGTTTTATTTATTGTCACTTTTCTACAACTCAGAATCTTGGATGAAGAGAATCTTAGCTTCCACAGCCTACATCAGTATCTGGTAAGGTAGATATTTGTTGAGGCACTGACCTGTGGGTAGAACTGAAAAGTCTAATTTAATTTAATCCTTTTGTTCATCATTAATAAGGTTTTCTTTTTTTCTCAGATTGTTCCCAGCTAATTGTGTCAGAAATAGATATATTTTCACTGAAGTTAAAATGATCCTGTCTTACCTTACATTTGCTAGAATCAGAGTATGTTAGAGAGTTCATTCAGTTCAAACTTACTATTTTTCAGTTTGGAGTTTCTTCTCTATAACCCCAAAGTGCTTACTGGCATGCGCTGCGCATTGTGCATCCTCAGTTAACATTGCTGACTGACAATAACAGCTTCTTTGCTGCCGGGTGAAAACTAACAGGGACATCTAACAGGACTCACACAGCCACGCTGACTTGATTCCAGGGACCAGCACTCTGCAGTTGGCTTATGATGACTGTGGTTTATCCATTTAGGGCCTCTCACCCAGTTCCAGAAGCCCATCCTTGCTTCATTTCACTGTCAATCAGTCATTAGTAGAGCACTTTTTATAACTCTTCCTGTCCCCACTCACTGGCACCTACTCACTCCTGCATTGCTAGGTGACTTATAAACTTGCAAAACAAACAGAAAATGGACTGATATATTTTAAAAGGGGAGAAAAGTAATAAGTGTAAATGTTAGGGAAATTAGCATAAACTTTTTTCCCAATGAGATAGGGCATATTTGTAAGCATTCTATTTTTTCTCTTATTCAAGTAATTCCAGTACTTGATGAAAAATATAAACTTGTCTGGTTCTATAACGTGGGCCAAATTGGTTTCAGCCATAATGGCTAGTGAGTTGGAGGGAGGTAAATTGAATTAGAAATGCAGCATCTCAACCTCTGGTGTGGCTCAGTTGGTTGAGCAAGGTTACCTGTTCAATTCCTGGTCAGGGCACACACCCAGATTGGAGTGCATAAAGAAGGCAACTGATCAGTGTTTCTCTCTTACATCGGTGTTTTTCTCTCTGTTTCCTCCTGCCTTTCTCTTTCTCTCTAAAATCAATAAAAACGTTTTTAAGAACAGAAATGCAGCATCTCTAACTTTATATTTTTCCTGTGGAGCCAGTGCTAAGAGCTAAATTATTAGTGTTTTTCTTACTGGAGAAGTATTGGGATGACTGAACTGACTGTTCTTTCTCTCTGTCTCTTCTTTTATTGATTTTTCACAGAGAGGAAGAGAGAGGGATAGTCAGAAACATGGATGAGAAACATCCATCAGCTTCCTCCTGCACATTCCCCACTGGGGATGTACCCGCACCTAAGACACATGCCCCTGACGGGAATGGAACCCAGGACCCTTCAGTCAGCATGCTGACGCTCTATTCACTGAGCCAAACCGGTTTCGGCTCTGTGCCTTTTTTTTTTTTTTTTTTTTTAGTGATTAGACTGACTCTCTCTCTCTCTCTCTCTCTCTCTCTCTCTCTCTCTCTCTCTCTCTCTCTCTCTCTCTCTCTCTCTCTCAATGTATTTTATTGACTTCAGAAAGGAAGAGAGAGAGAAACATCAATGCTGAGAGAGAACCATTGATCGGCTGCCTTCTGCATGCCACACACTGCAGATCAAGCCCACAATCTAGGCATGTGAACTGGCCGGGAATCTGAACCTCCTGGTTCAGAAGTCAACACTCAACCACTGAGCCATGTGGCCAGGCTCTGTGCCTCTTTTCAATATGAATATAAACCCAAAAAAGGAGAAGGCATATAATATGACTGTTCTAGGCTGAAATTAAATGTAGCCTTATTTTTAGTGTATTTGTTGGAATATACTTTTGTGAAGAAAAATAGTTTGAGGTGTGAGGGTTGTTTAAATTTCAGGTAACCTTAACATCTTCTCATTGACTGTTCATAAACCCCACGTCTCATATCCAGGTAAACTCAAATCTTATAAATTTTGCCTTCTCGCCGAAACCGGTTTGGCTCAGTGGTTAGAGTTTCGGCCTGCAGACTGAAAGGTCCCGGGTTCGATTCCGGTCAAGGGCATGTTCCTCGGTTGGGGGCACATTCCCAGTAAGGGGATGTGCAAAGAGGCAGCTGATCGATGACTCTCTCTTCGATGTTTCTAACTCTCTATTCCTCTCTTCCTCTCTGTAAAAAATCAATAAAATATATTTTAAAAATAAATAAATTTTGCCTTCTAATTTCTTCTCTATCCTCCAATTAGTGGCTTCTGACCTACTTGGTTATGTTTTTCTTGCCCATCAGAGAAATGTTACTCATCTTAGTTGTCCTAACACCTAGCCCGGGACCTGGGATTTGGTGAATGTTAGATGTAGCAGTGATTTCGGTAGGCAGGTCTGTGCTGGTGCAGCCTAATAGATGAGAAAGCCAAGGTCCAGTGACTTACCCACATCTAGTGATAGCAGAGTTAGAATTAGAACCCACTATTCCCTTCCCTGAACTATAACATACCTCTTCCACAAAAATAGTATGAACCGAAACCAATTTGGCTCAGCGGTAGAGCGTCTGTCTGCGGACTGAAAGGTCCCAGGTTCGATTCCAGTCAAGGGCATGTATCGGGTCTAGTAATAATTAATGTCGTTTTTTAACATTCGTTTAAAATCTTGCTTGGCGTTGACTTGTATTGACATAACCTTCAAACACGTGTCTACAGAACATGTGAAGTGCAATTAACAAGTTTTGCTTGAAAAAGTTTGTGTTTGGTTTGGTTTTTGTTGCAAAACTAGGGCTAAGAAGGTGGCGGATGAAGAGCATATTTGGCACTGCATGCTTTACGAGTTCCAATTAGGAAGAAAAGCAAGTGAGGCTGCAAAAAACATCTGTAGTGCTCTTGGTCAAGATGCAGTTAGCGCCAGAAAATGCCAGCGTTGGTTTGAGAAATTTCGCGAGGGAAATTTTTCGTTAGATGACAAGAGTGGTTGAGGCCGTGTGTCCAATTTTGATCAAGAAGCTCTTCAAGCTCTTTTGGTGCAGAATCCTCAAATTACCCAACAAGAGCTTGCGACAACTTTAAATTGTTCACAAAAAACAATTTCCAATCAATTGCATGCACTTGGCAAAGTCCAAAAGTTTGGAAAATGGGTTCCTCATGAGTTGACTGACAACAACCGTAATCAGAGAGTCACAATTTGCAGTTCGCTCCTCTCTCGTCAAAACCGTTTGCCGTTTTTAGAGCAAATTGTTACCGGAGATGAAAAATGGGTGCTGTATGTTAATTTGAAAAGGCGGCCTCAATGGTTGGACAAAAATGAGGCTCCGCAGCCCACGCCAAAACCTGACTTGCATGCGAAAAAAGTGATGTTGTGTGTTTGGTGGAATTTTAAAGGAATTCTTCATTATGAACTTTTACCATCTAACCAAACCATTACAAGTGCAGTGTATAGTGCTCAATTGGAAAGGTTAGCCCAAGCTTTAAGAGAAAAAGAACCCGTGCTGATTAATCGGAAGGGCGTAAGTCTTCACCACGATAATGCACGACCGCATACTGCAAGAATCACTGCTGAAAAACTGCGCCAGTGGAATGGGTAGTTCTCCCTCAACCTGCATATTCTCCTGATATTGCCCCTTCCGATTACCATTTGTTTCGTTCTTTGCAAAACTTTCTTCTTGGAAAAAAATTTAATAATGAAGAATGCCTCAAAAATGCATTGACCGAATTTTTTGCATCAAAATAACAAGAATTTTACAACAGAGGGATTAAAATGCTTCCTGAGTGTTGGGCACAAGTAGTAGAAAACAACGGCAACTATATTGTTGATTAAATTTTGTTGTATTGTTTAAATTCGATTTTAAAAAGTATTAGGAAACGACATTAATTATTACTAGACCTAATACGTTGGTTGCGGGCACATCCCCAAACAGCTGGTCGATGTTTCTCTCTCATCGGCGTTTCTAGTTCTCTATCTCCCTTCCTCTCTGTAAAAAATCAATAAAATATATATTTTTTTTAAATAGCATGAGGTGTAGATTCATTTGAGGACTGAAAAGGAAAGAGTTGCAGATGGTGAGATAATCAGAATTATTGTAGTAAGAATTGGCTGGAATTTGGCTGCCAACTTGCACAGCCAGTGAAGAAGAGGACAGCTATTCACAGTCAAACCAAGAATCCAAATCTTTTAGGAATATCAAGTTACTTAATTTCACACAATAAAAAAATTATTAGGGAAAAATACATATAAATTAAGTTGTAAGTTAAAACTCTTCCTTAATACTCTCCACTCCATCCCCCTTATCTTGACTAATACAGATAATTTCAGAGTTACATAGACGTACATAATTTTTAACAATACTTCTCTACCTACAAACATGTAAATGCACCAAGGGATAATAAATTGGTCTGGAAATACGTGAAAATCAACTATCTGTGTGTTCCGTGTACATAATACTTTTTATCTGTGGTAGTCCTATCAAGTCTCACACTAAAGTAAACTGAAGAGATCATTTAGTCCAACCTTCTCGTTTAATACTTAAGAATACTGAGATTCAGACATGTTGATTTATCTAATTCGTTAGTGAACTAGAACCCCCATCTCCCCTTATTGCTATGACTCGTTGATCCTGAAGAAAACTTCTCTGTAAGTTGAATAATTACCTTCTGATGGTTCCAGGGTGTCTTGTTCTTGTTGGATTTTCCTGTGTGGCTTTGTTGGAAGGAGATAGACATGTAAATCTTGTAACAAGACTCTGGGGCTGTGATTGAGATCTGACGAGAACTTTTAATGTTGTTTGTGTGACAGAAAGAGCAGTGATGCTCTGTCCCCAACTCTCCAAGCTGTGAAATAGGAGCTTTACAAGCTCTGTGGCTTTTCAGGTCCTAAAAGCCAGCTCCCTGCATCAATGCAAGGAGGTTACATCTTGGCATCTGGACATGCATGCTACTTACAAAAGACAGTTATTGAATGAGAAATCAGGGGGTAAAGGCAAAATAGGTGCACCCAGTGCAAACATTGGTGCACGTTCTGAGAAAATTCTTTTCACATCTCCTTTAGGACTAGTGTTTTAGCAGCTTTATGGTAATGTTGCCATAAGACATAGTTCACATGCTTACTTTTTGCACAGTTTACATGCTTAAGTTTGTATGTGGCCAAGGTATTAAATCCTTTTTTCTCTCACTCCTAGGCGTCTCTTCTCTTCCTGCTGAGGCATTTACAGTATAAGGCTAATACTAAAGCATTTGCAGTATAAGGCTAACAGGAGCTCCATAGTTACAAAGCTAGCTTTCATTTTCCTAGGCTCGTTTGTGCTCTAACCTCCAGTGGGTAATCATGCAATATAAAATACGCTACTGGGAGTCAGTGACAGTTGTTTTTGAAGACTGGTTACAGGGGAGTACTCCTTCTCTTTGAGTTGTTACTTATGTGCATACATTTTTTGAGCTGGGTACTTACCTTGCCATAAATTAGCTATACTGCATATCTACTTAAACTCCTTTACATATTTGAATTCTTTATTTTTTCACAGCCATCTCTTCCTGTACTTTATACCCTGTCTAGTCAGGCTACACATGAAGCTGTTCATCTCCTTTGCAGGATGTTGGTCTTTGATCCAGTAAGTAGTCTTTGTTTTTATACTTTGTAATGAATTAAAAATACATGTGTTCTAAGAAAAACATCAGAACTGGACAGTGTAAATAATGACTTTGCAAAAGATAACCTTTAGTCCCCTGTTTCACATGTATCATGCTCACTCATCATACAGAAGTTTGATTATTAGCACCTGAGAGCTGAGGGGGAAGAGAGATGAAGAATTGTACCAGTTTTATTTATCTCTATTTGTAAAAGGAGTTTGGCAGCAACTTAAATCAGGAAGAAAAAGATTTTAACATTGTTTGAAAAAATCTGTCCATTTTATTGCATAAGAAGTTGCTGCGATGGTAGCTTTTCCAAATGCCATTTTTGGACTTGACTCTTTGGAACAAAATTTAGCTCATTTATCCATTAACCCAAAGAATATTTATTATTCATATCTGTACCATAACTGTTGTCAAAGAAGACTCAAAAATGAAAGCATTTGGAAAAGAAAATTTTACTTGCTAAGAATACAAGAAAGTCACCAAATACAAAAAACACAGATATTTAAAGGGGGGGAATGCCCACAAAATTAATAGTTACTACGTTTACATTGGTCTGTTTGTGATGAGAAAACAGCAGCTGTCTCACATGAAAATCAAATCCACAGAAGTCAGAACTATCTTGACATCAGCATAACAAAGAATAGGGATAAAAATGTTTTGTTAAGAGTCCAGGTTTGTGAGAAACAGTAAAGGTTTCATTATTTGGGGACCAAAACCAATCAGTGACCAAGTTATTTTTGTTACATCTCAGGGTGCATAGTGGATTTTTATTTGTTTGTTTTCCTTTTGTTTGTTTGTTACTTTGTGAGGTGCTTAGTAATACAGAAGCAGGACAAAGTGGCCATTCTCAATTCCACAGTCCCTCCTTGTGGTCAAGTTCCTGCCATTAAAGACCGTTCCAACATAACTTGCTCAGTGAGCTAGTGATTTAGTATCATTAGTTTGGTATTTTGTTTTATTTGGCAAGTCTATCTACATAGCTAACAGAAGACGTTGATTAATATATAAAGAACCTTTGTATGGTTAACAAAACTAGAGCCACATAAACTTCTAGCTTCAGAGGTAATTTCTGTCTGTCCTTCAAAGGGTATAAAGGCCCTGGGGTTAAAATTTCCTTACATGCATCAGAAATATCTTGTGTTCTTTATTAGTTCTGTTGAGATTAGTAACCAAAACCATGTGATCCATCTGTGCTAGGTTTTGCTGCGGTACTTATGTCTGTAAGGTATCCTCTTTCTCAGAGAGCCCATGTTTATTAAGGCTCCTGACCTGCCCAAACTCAGACTTTACAACCTTAAGGCTGAAGGGTCCAAAGCTGTAGAGCAGATACCACACATATTATCCTGGGAGGCCTGTTAGACATCAGTTCTATGTGAAAGGTAGTCCTTATTCCTCAATAGTGGGATTGTCACACCTAAATAAATGAAACTTTTTTAAAATTTATTTTTTTTATGATTTCAGAAAGGGAGAGTGAGAGAGAGATAGAAGCATCAATGATGAGAGAATCATCATTCAGCTGCCTCCTGCACAGCCCCTGTTGGGGATTGAGCCAGCAACTTGGGCATGTACCCTTGACTGGAATCGAACCTGGACCCCTTCAGTCTGCAAGCCAATACTTTATCCACTGAGCCAAACCAGCTACGGCAGTAAATGAAATTTTTTATATCATATTTACAATTAATTATCTTTATAAGAGGAAAGTAAGAGTTATCTGGTAAAGAGAACCGACTCTTTTTTTTTTTTCTTTTTAATATATTTTATTAACTTTTTACAGAGAGGAAGGCAGAGGGATAGAGTTAGAAACATCGATGAGAGAGAATCATCGCTCAGCTGCCTCTTGCACACCCCCTACTGGGGATGTGCCCGCAACCAAGGTACATGCCCTTGACCAGAATCGAACCCGGGACCCTTCAGTCCCCAAGCCAACACTCTATCCATTGAGCCAAACCGGTCCCGGCCTCTTTTTTTAAAATATATTTTTATTGCTTTTGGAGAGGAAGGGAGAGAGAGAAACATCAGTGATGAGAGAGAAGCATGGATCGGCTGCCTCCTGCACACTCCACACTGGGGATCAAGCCTGAAACCCAGGCATGTGCTCTGACTGGGAATCAAAGCAGCAGCATCCTGGTTCATAGGTCAACGCTCAACCACTGAGCCATGCCAGCTGGGTCTGACAGTAGACCTTTATTCCAGTGCAACCTCCAGGAGTAGCTGGATTTATTTAGTAAAAAAGAGAAAGTTTACTTGCTAAAAGGACCAGTGAATCCATTCAGCTGGGTCACCAAGTACAAAACAGGAGCAAAGCCAGAGCCAAGATTGTCAAATCTACATTTGTCTGCTCATGGTGGAGAGACAGCACCTTTCACTTGCGATTATCCTGTCCTGGAAGGGCATGACATGCCTTTTAGCAGCAGCACAGCAAAAAAAAAAAAAATAAGAGATTAAAATGTTTTGGGGGAATCTGGGTTTATGGGAAATAGTTAACATTTCTTTATTTGAGGGGACCAGAACTAGTCAGAATGACCTGGGATTTTTTGTTTGTTTTTTATGGGTTTTTTTGTTGTTGTTGTTTGGTTGGAGTGCAAAATGGCTTTCTTTTTCTTTTCTTTTTTTCTTTCTTAATCATAGTATGTGAAGTGCTTGATCATCTTGCATGTAGGGCAGAGTGTCAGTATTTATTCTATTCTCTGCTCTTGAGCCTGTCCTTAAATCCTTTAGGATTCACTTTCTGTCACTTGGTAGTATTTATATGTCCACTGAGCTCAAAGGAAGGATTTTTTTTAATGGAGAAATTAAAAGTGTATGGTTTATCAACCTGAAACTAGTATGTTACGTATTCTGATCTGAGGTGTCAGGAAACAGCAGGCTGCTGATATTCAGAGTGAGCTGGAGAGTAAAACATGGCATTCAGGCCGTTACCTGCTGCCTAACTCCAGCAGCTTCAGATACCCTAGGTTGATTTGGCATTCCAAGAGAATTAAATTTTCAAGCAGCTTTGTAAAATTGCCACCTTGATCACATCGCTTCTAGATGCTGAGACATGTTTAGAAAATATAACTGCTATTTAAAATGTAAACTTCCGCCCTCGCTGATTTGGCTCAGTGGACAGAGTGTCAGCCTGTGGACTAGGGTCCCAGGTTCATTTCTGCAGGGGCACATGCCAGGCTGCAGCTCGATCCCTCATGTAGGGCGTGAAGAAGGCAGCTGATCAATGATTCTCTCTCATCATTGATGTTTCTATGTCTCCCTCTCCTTTCCTCTCTGAAATCAATAAAAATTTATTTAAAAAATAAAATTTAAAATTCTCCCCTCCAAAGCATTACATATTTAAATGTCATGATATTTGTAATTTTGGGCACTACATACATTTATTTTGAGGTAGCAATTCTTTGGGATCTCAGCAGAAAGTCACTCATACTCCCTCTGACTGCTGCATTGCCCACTCTGACTTCAGTTATCCCTCTTTACACAGGATGTACCGTAAAGTATAAGCAGTTACTGTGCCTTGAGAAAGATCCTGTGTGGACAGTCGTGTTTATCTGTAGTGTTGATGTGCTGGTCTCTAAATTTGATTTCAGTCCAAAAGAATATCCGCTAAGGATGCCTTAGCCCACCCCTACCTAGATGAAGGGCGACTGCGGTATCACACGTGTATGTGTAAATGTTGCTTTTCCACCTCTACCGGGAGAGTTTATACCAATGACTTCGAGCCTGTCACCAACCCCAAATTTGATGACACTTTTGAGAAGAACCTCAGTTCTGTTCGACAGGTTAAAGGTGAGTGTCATTTTTGGCCTTCGGCCTGGCAGGATTGCTAGTAACGTTTTCTTAGCGTGGCCCTGAAGAGCTGCCATCTCCTAGGTCTGTTACAGCCTCGCGTACAGCGCTCCATTCGGAGCGTGTACCGTGAGAGCTGTGGGTGTGATAAAAACGCCCACTTAGTACTGCATCCAGGGCAAGAACAGGCAGAGGAATAAACATTGTGTTCTTGTTTTCAAAGCTAACTTACTTGATGAGTATGACTCAATATAGTTAATATGTATTCATTGAGTGTAATTAATTGAATACATCTTGGATGTATAACATGCAAAGTTTTAAACAAGATAAATATCCACCAAGGAATCATTCTATGGATGATGACAAGAGAAGGAAATTTCCGCTAGTCGACTCGTTATATTTCCTGACACCACCTCCTGTTGGGATGGGGTCGGGGTTTATACATCCAAAATTCTGAATGATTTGAGTGTCTGCTGTTGGGCATTTTAGAGAGAGTAGTTCCCGAAGAAACCAGCCCAAAACTTTACCTAACCTTCAAGGTGTTTTAGGGATTTTCAATAAGGTGGCAATTACCAGCAATTTACAAGAGTTCACGCCAAACCCTGTGGAGTCAGCTCTCAAATTTATAGACCATTTTACTCCTCCCACAGATGGGATGTCCACCCAGCGGAAGGTGCTTTGTGGGCTTTGCCTGTGTTTAGTAGCACCTGTCATTTGGTTTCAGGGAAGTTCTGCTGGAGTCAGCCTGACAGATGACGTGTGTCTGATTTAACTAAACAAGTAGGAAACGCTGTTCTGACGCTGGCTAGTGTTAGCTGAGAACCCGCTGCTCCCAGACCTGCAAATTGGCATGCCTTGTGTGTTTGTTTTCTCCACAGAAATTATTCACCAGTTCATTCTGGAACAGCAGAAAGGAAACAGAGTGCCTCTCTGCATCAACCCTCAGTCTGCTGCTTTTAAGAGCTTTATTAGGTAACTATGTGGATGTATTTCTAATTTCCCTTATTAGTAGTAGGAGGCCATTGTGATTTTTGTTATTCAGCTTATTTCTGTTTTTGTTTCTATTCAATAACAGATAAAAAGCCCAACAGAAAGTTTCTGTTATGAACTTTGGCTTTCGTCAAAAGCACATTAAAATGTTACATTAGTTTTCATACTGATGTCAACTCACTGTGGTTGCTTTGGTACTTTTGCCCCCAAATGACCACTGTGCTGCCTGGTCATGTACATGGGGATCTCCTGCAGCAACAGTGTGGCGGCCACTGTCCTGGAGTTGGACATAGTCACCAGGATTCCCACTGTTATCCCCAGCACCTTCGGAATAAGAGCAGCAAGAACACTTGTTTTTATAGGTGGACTGAGGGTGTGTCCAGCCGGCTTGTTGGTTCAAGAGCTGGAAACCTGCTTTGGAACCTAGAAGCCTCATTCTCTTTGCCCTTGCCTTCTCATTCTCTCTTTCCCTGACTGCTTGTACCAGTCAAGGCCCAGTCATGAGAAATAAACCACACCCCATAAAATTAAGTAACAAGAAGCATTAACCAGGGAAAGAGTGAACAAGGAAGAAATGAAGACCTTAGAGGAGGTCCCTTCACCCAAGGCTAATATTTGGAGGTGATATAGCTGCCCCACACACACCCATGAGGGTGGAAAAGAAACTCCAAACCCGGGGGCGCAGAACTCATCCATCAGAGAGACCTGTTGGGTTGCAGAGCAACTTGCCTCAATGTTTGGGTAGACCAAAGCTGGGCCTTTCATGTTTAAAAAAAAACAACCATAAATAAAACAAAATAAAAGAGCACACCAGAACCGGAAAGGGCAGCTGCTTCCTAATGCCACAGCCGTGTGGTGCCTCTCCAGCGCCCTCTGTCGACACAGGCTAGCATCAAGCAGGTGGCAAAGGGGGAACGTGAACAGCATCTGGCTCCCGAATCACAAAGCAGCACCAAGAAGGGTGGGGGTTTGGATCTGAGAGGCAACGCTCCATCTCCTTTCTTCCTCACCTGTCTTTCTCCCTCTTCTTTTTCCCTCTTCTCTCTGATTCTCTTTCCCGTCCACTCATTTCTGTTTTAATTGGTCTTAACATGGTATTAAAGTTGGTTTAATTTATTGAACCAAATTTGTTTAGAATTATTTTTTGTTTACAATTATGTTGTTAGAAAGAATTAAGTTGCATTTTTACTTCTCTGTTGTTTAAAATTACTTTGTTTTAGATTTTTTTTTTTTTCCTCCTAAGAGTCAGTGACCCAGTACCTTTCCAGATGCAAGTTATTCATTATTCTGGGCCCCAGAGAAGCAAAGTGGTTTCACACAATCCCTAGATTATATTTATAATCTAGTGGGAAACATTAGACAGGCATATGAAATAACTGATAAAACAAATCAATAGGTAACAAATACTAAATGGTTATCTATTACTACTTAGGTAGTACTTGATAAAGCATATGAGGCTCATTCAAAATAGGACCCCACTTCAGTGGATGTGTCTCTCTCACTTCCATGTTTCTCTCTCTGTCTCTTCCCTTCCCTTTCACTCCCTCCAAAAATCATTGGGAAAAAATATCCTCAGGCGAAAATTAACAAAAGAAAAAAGCCCTATCCAGTTGCTTAGTGGTTAGAGCATCGGCCCATGGACTAACGGGTCATGGGTTTGATTCTGGTCAAGGGCCTGTGCCTCAGTTGCAGGCTCCATTCAGGTCAGGGTATGTCCCAGAGACAACAATCAATGTGTGTCTCTCTCTCTGTTTCTTCCCTTCCCTTCCACTCTCTAAAATTCAATGTTAATACTCAGATGAGGATTAATAACAACCATTAAAAAAAAAAAGGTTCCCACTTAAAAGTCACTATATTTTGAGAGGCTACTTTCAAATGAATAATTCTGCACCATTTAAGGTTATTTTTCTTTTTTCTTTTTTTAATATATTTTATTGATTTTGTACAAAGAGGAAGGGAGAGAGATAGAGAGTTAGAAACATCGATGAGAGATAGACATCGATCAGCTGCCTCTTGCACGCCCCCTACTGGGGATATGCCCGCAACCAAGGCACATGCCCTTGACTGGAATTGAACCCAGGACCTTTCAGTCTGCAGGCCAATGCTCTATCCACTGAGCCAAACCGGTTTCGGCAAAGGTTACTTTTCTAATTGATTATAAGCATTATTATTTATAACTAGAGGCTCAGTGCACAAAATTCATACACGGTTAGGGTCCCTAGGCCAGACTGGCAATCAGAGCCATTTGGGACCTTCCAGCTGCCAGCCAGAGTCTTCCTTCATTCCGTGCCACCCCCTGGTGGTCAGAACACAACATAGTGAGTGATCGAACTCCTGAGGGGACACTTTGCATATTAGCCTTTTATATAAACAGATAACTACCATTTACTTTATATTATGAAGTAGGCACTGTGGAAAGCACTTTATATACATTATCTCATTTATTCATCACAATAGCATTATTCCTGCCCTAGCTGGTTTGGCTCAGTGAATAGAGCTTTGGCCCACAGACTGAAGTGTCCCGGGTTGATTCCAATCAAGGTGTGTACCTTGGTTGCAGGCTCAGTCCTTGGCTCTGGTTCGGGTGCATGCAGGAGGCAACCAGTTGATGTGTCTCTTTCACATCGATCTTCCTCTCTGTGTGTCTCTTCCCCCTCCCTTCCACTCTCTCTCTAAATGGGGAAAAAAATTGTTGGGTGAGGATTAACAACAAAAAATCCTTGGGTGAGGATTAACAACAACAAAAAATAAAATCACATTATCCCTCTCCAAGAGGAAAGATGAAGGAATCTGCTCTGTGTCACACAACTAGTAAATGACATTTTCCAAGGCCATGTATTAGCCACTGTGCCATATCGCCTCCCTAAACATACATATCCTTAAGCAAACAATTTGGAACAGATGCAATTTAGAGAAGTTAAAGAAACCAGTCAAATCCACAACTGGACTTTACAGGTGTGGTCTTTTTAAGGCGGCGAAGGAAACAGGCAACAGTGAATCACCCTTTGTGGTGCTACAATTGTTTTCACCGTGTCTCCTTTTTTTCCCAGTTCCACTGTTGCCCAGCCATCCGAGATGCCGCCATCTCCTCTGGTGTGGGAGTGACGGTGGAAGATAATGTACTACTGAAGATGCAATGTAGCTTTCCACTGGAGTCTGGGATTTGCCATTCTGGAGGTTAATCATGCTTGTACTGTAATTTTACTAATGAAGTTTTAAATTAACAACCACTACTTGTATGATATGAATAATAATTAGAAATGTTACTAGACTTTTAATCTTGTAAAGTGGTTGTGCTTTTAGAAGAAAAATATTTTACCCAGAGTTGCACTGTTTTATGAATTTAGTGCAGCTGTTATGGCTCACCTCAGAACAAAAGAGAATTGAACCAAATTTGGAAGTTTGGGGTTTTGTGTTTTTGTTTTGTTTTGTTTTTTGTTTCTTTTTTAATGAAGTGGGATTGTTCACACATGCACATGTGCACACACACACACACACACACACACACAGGACAGTCATACATTTTGATATTTGAGCCATTCCTGAAAATTATGGGTTTTCTAAAATGAAAACATCTAGAAACCTTGCCTGCGACCAATCATGGAGCCACGTGAGCTGATCGTGGCCGCACCTGGGGGAGGGGGTGGGGCATGCCACCTAATGATCAAGCCCTATAATTAGCTTCTCATTAGAGCCGTGACGGTGATGTGTGCTGTCTAAAATCCAATGTTGTGGGTAGAAAGAATGAGTTTGTGACTAGGAGAGACTAAACTTCTGTTTTCCTTACCCAGTATAAATATATATATATATATATATATTTAATCTATTTTTATTAGAAGTTTTTCTGCTCTTTCTTACATAAAAGAAACCCCCAAGCATGCATCTTTCATGAGTGTAAATAATTCATTTCTGGGCTAATTTCAAAAGAATCCCAACATTGCTGTATAGAGAGAGAACTAGCTTGCACATTTTAGGTCTGTGAAATTTTGTGAGACTTTTCCTGCACTGGACAATAAAAAATAAAATAAAATAAAAGACAAAAACAAATTTTAAAGAAATTTAAAGCCACAAAAAAAAAAAGGCACATAGGGAATTATGTCAAATGTGTTTGTGTCCTTAGGCAAAGCTGTGGGAGTCTTGAAATGTCACAGTAGTAAATAACTTATTACTTTTTGACAAATTCTTTTTTCTGTTGGAACACTGAATTCTTCTGTGCATATGTATATATGAACACAAATTGAAGGCCTCTACCTCCTGGAGTTATACAACTTGGCTTGTTTACCTCCACATGCTGATGATGACTATTTTTTTTTTTTAAGTTCAATGTGGAGACTTGAAACTTGAATGTCCCTTCCAACTTTTATATTAAAAATAAAAAGAGAAGAAAACTGAAGATCGTTTTTCACCTGTACAAGGAATATTAATGGATCGTCTTAAAATTGGTCTAAAAAAAACCTTGGTGTGTGTTATGGACAATTAACTGTTAAAGTTATTGTAAGTTATCTGTATTTAGCAGAGTATTTTCATCTTGAGTGATCTGAGCTGGATTTGAAGACTATTAATAAGTTATGTTTGGAAGTTTTAACTTCAATGAAGTAATTATTTGCTGTGAAAGAAACAAACATTGAATTACTAAACAAAGATGGTGCAATATCTTTGTTTCTTTTTTTTATGAGGCTCCTGAGAATCAACCCAACTGAAGCATTTCAATTCACTTGAATGAGAAACGTGTTTAGTATCAAAAGAGCCCAAGAAGACACTGGTGTGAAAGGTACAATCTCAGAGGTTGGTCAATTACTGTGGCACACGTATTGGTCACTTTGTACAATGTAGATTTGAAGTACAGTGGTGAAAACATTAAATGTGACATTTGAAAAAAAACGTGTCATCTGTTTATTTCAGTTCCTCTTTTTTGTTTTCTCTTCAGTAAGCTTCCTTATTGAATTTGATACCCTTGGGTGAGAATTTTTTTTAAAAAGATGTGAAATTTGCATGAATTTTTAAATTAAGGTAGCTTTTGGGGGGCCGTTTCCTGCTGTGCTCTAGTAACATCCAGACCATCATGTTAGTAGATGGACACTTTTCAGGTCTTCTTTCCAGTATTTGACTCTACCTTTTTTTTTTTTTTAATCCTCAGCTAAGGATGTTTTTCACATTGACTTTTAGAGAGAGTCGAAGAGGGAGGGAGGGGGAGAGAAAGAGGATCATCGATGTGAGAGACACATCAATTGGATGCCTCCTGCAAGCTCCCCAACTGGGGCCTGGGATGGAGCCTGACCTGGGAAAGAACCAGAACCCTTGGGTGCACAGGTGACGCTGTAACCACTCAGCACACTGGCCAGGGCTCCGCCTTTCTCAAGCAGCCTTTCCTTGGCTTCTGTTACACTGCTTTTCTCCTCTTGGGAGCCACAACACTCCCTTACACTTCTGCTTAATGGTCACATGTCTGTTCCCTGGGCTAGGGGTCAGTCCAGGGTTCTATTCCTACTCTAAAACCGAGTTCTTGACTTAGGTACTTGGTAGAATCACCTGGAGAAGTTTCAAAAAGCCCAGAGCCTGGGCTGCATCCCAGACCAAATTAGGTCAGACTCTGGAGGCAGGGTCAGGCTTCAGTCTGTGTTGTCAGCTTTGTTTTGTGCGGCCGGGCCGGGTCTGAGATCCATGTTAGTCCCCATGTCCATCCCTCATGGTGTCCTTTCCTGCCTCCCCCAATCACCATTCTGCTTCACAAAGGAAAGACATGCTTCTCACACCTTACATGTTACTATGGTGCAGCGTCCCTGCCTGCAAAAACATTTTGGGTTGCCAGGTAAACGGACAAATGGAAATAGTTTCTGTTTATGAAGACCTCACCTCTTTCATCTCAGTAGTGTCAGATAATACACTGATCCTGAGAGAGAACCCTTTGAAAGTAAAGCAAGGAGCATTAGGAGGAAGTATTGAGACTGGCAGTATTTTATTTCGCTCAGGAAACGAATTCATGGTACAGCTCTGACTTAAGATTCAAAGAGTTTTGTGGTGTGTGGGTGTGGGTTGGGTGTGGGTGTGTGGGGGTGTTAACAGAAATTTATAAGAATGAAGCCAGACTTTTTTCAACAGAAGATAAATCAGTTTTGACTGCTTGGTTTGCCAATGAAGATTTTTTTATTAGTTTATATGGTAAACATTTTTCCATAATTAGAATTAGGTGGAATCTGCAGCTACAAAGTTCTGATAAAAGCATATTTAAAGGGATATATTTAAAAATTATTAAAAAGTTATTGGCAAAAATGAGAACTTGGAACCTTTGTGCATTGCTAATGGCATGTAAAATGGTGCAGCCACTGTGGAAAAGTGTGGTGGTCCCTCAAAAAAATGAGAATTACCCTTTGGCCCAGCAATTTCATTTCGGGATCTATACATAAAAGAATTGAAAGCAAGGACTCATCTAGATATCTGTGCACCAATGTTCATAGTAGCATTATTCACAGTAACCAAAGATGGAAACAACCCAAATGTCGATTGATGGATGAATAAACAAAATATACATACATACAATGGATTGTTATTCTGGCTTAAAAAGGAAGGAAATGCTGATATATGGATGAAACTTAAAATAAGGCAGACACAAAAACCAAATCTTGCATGATTCTACTTATATGAGGTACTTAAAATAGCCAAATCCATAGGTAGAAAGTAATGAAGAGTATAATAGTGGTTTCCAGGGGTGGGGACGGGTGGGAGTGTTTATGAGTACCAAATTTCATTTGGGGGAGATGAAAAAGTTCTGGAGATGGATGGTGGTAATAGAGCCCAACAATGTGAGTGTACTTAATGCCTCTCAACTATACACTTAAAATGGTAAGTGTATGTATATTTTACCACGATTTAAATAGATAAAGCTGTACTGTCCCAGAATTGGAAAGATGTATCAATACATAATCAATATAAACATTTCAGGACATAAAATGAATTGATTGTAAATATAAGGGTTTATTTCTGGACTCTATTCCACTGATCTGTGCCACTTACTACACTGTCTTGATTACTGTAGTTTTGCAGTAAGTTTTGAAGTCAGGAAATGTAAGTACTCCAACTTTGTTCTTTTTCAAGGTTATTTTGGCTCTTCTTAGTGCCTTGCATTTATTTCCACATGAATTTTAGAGACTTTCCGCAAAAAGGTCAGCTGAGATTTTGATAGGGACTGCATTGACTCTGTAGATAAATTTGGGGAATATTGCCATTTTTACAATATTAAATCTTTTACTCTATGAACATGGGTGTCTCCATTTAATTTAGCTCTTCTAACGTTTTGTAGTTTTCAGGTAAAAGTCTTGAACTTTCTTAAGTCTATTCCCAAGTAATAATTTTTTATGGAATTGTTTTTTTAATTTCATTTTCATATTGTTTGTTGCTAATATATAAAAATACAATCGATTTTTGCACATTGATATTTATTCTACAACCTGGCTGAATTCTTTGATTAGTTCTAAGTTTTTTTTTAATATATTCCTTTTAGGATTTTGTAATGAAGTTTAATATCTCTAGAAAACATTGTAATCTAAAAATTATATATAAAGCTTATCTGTATTTTTTTTTCCTAAGGGAAAAAGGAATAATTAAAATGTTTCTGTTTCATTAAAAAACAAAAAGACATTAATGATGGCATTTATTAAGAAAATAATTCTTTGTTTATTGAGGGCAATTAGGCTTGGCCAAAAACTCTTTATTGTAAAAGACATCAAACCTGTTGAAAAGTAGAAAGAAATAGTATAGTGAAAATCCATATACCCTTCCCCTAGATTCACCGTTTAAACAATTGCCAAATTGCTTTATTTATATACAAATATGTATATATATATTTATGTATGTAAATGTGTACTTTTTAATTTTTTATGAAACTTTACCCCCAAAGTATCTACTAAAACAAAGACATTATTCTACATAAGCTACAGCCCCATTATCATACCTAAGAAATTTAACAACTGCTGTTACCTAATATACAGGACATACTCAAATTTCTCCAATTAACAAAAATTACATTTATAGCTGTTTATTTTCCATTCAGGATATAGCCATATTGTGTCTTGCATTTGGTTATCATGTCTTATTAGCATCCTTTAATCCAAGAGAATCTGCCTTTTCTTTCTTTTTTTTTCTTTACTCCTCACCCAAAGATATGTTTTTATTGCTTTAGGGAGAGGAAGGGAAAGAGAAACATCAATGTCAGGGAGATACATCCATCAGTTGTCTCCCATAAGTGCCCAAAATGGGGATCAAACCCACAACCTGGATATGTGCCCTGACCCAGAATCAAACCCATAGCCTTTTGGTGAATGGGCAGTGCTCCAACCAACTGAGCCGCAGGCCAGGCTGCCTTTCCTTTCATGGCATGTGGCACTTTTGAAGGTGCAAGACCAGCTGTCATGCAGTATGTCCTTCAACGATTTGGGTTTTTCTGATTGTTTTCTCATGGTTAGTCAGGTTGAAAACTGTTAACGGTGGTGATGTGGTATACTTCCCAGCCTATCAGTTTAAGGGGTATAAATGTTTGTCCCAGTTTTGGTCATACTGAATGTGGTCATTTGATCAAGGCTGTGATTGCCTTGATCCATTGTAATTAATGTAATTTCCTTTTGTTATTAACATATAATCAATGGAGAGATATTTTGAGACCACATCTTACTCCTCCACAAACTTTTATCCAGTGCCATCCATCGATGATATTTGCCCCAATTATTTATTACATTAGTGGTTGGGAATTGGTGATTTCCTAATAATTCTATCATTCCTTCTACACTGGTATTTTCTCTTCCACCCTAAACAGATTCATCAATATTGAAGGATTCATCACACTTTTTGGGTATGTGAACATACCTTCCATGAAGGTTCTGAAACTGCCCCGGAGGATTCTGTGGGAAAGCTCATGGACCACTGACATCTTCCTCCCTGGCACAAGACTAGACTACAGTCCCAGGCCCCTAGTGGTAAAATGTGGGCACGTGTCTAACTTGTCTCCAATGGAAAGTGATTGGAAGGGATGTGTGCCTTAGGATGTTGAATGCACTCCCTCTATGCTTTCTTTTCACTTACTAATTAAACTCATGGCCTTGACCATGAAGATGACAATGCCTTAAAGCAGGGGTCAGTAAACTATCACCACAGGTCAAATCAGACCTGATGCCTGATTTTAAATAAAGTTTTATTGCAACATGGCCATGTTTACTCATGTACATATTGTCTATAGCTGCTTTCATACATTAAATAGCAGCATTGAGTAGTTGGGGCAAAGATTGGCCCACAAAGTCTAAAATATTTATTGTCTGGCCATTTATAGTACAAGTTTGCAAACCCCTGCTCTAGTATACAGTAGGCACTCCTTAAGTGAGCGATAGCTGTTAACTCTTCCATTAAATGGGTCCCTTCCACCACCAAATGTATTGATATTTGAGGCACATCTATCTTGGAAAAAAGCCTGACCTCAATACCTCCAGTTCTTTCCCCCTTAAAAAAAAAGTGATAGCCGGGACTGGTTTGGCTCAGTGGATGGAGCGTCGGCTTGGGGACTGAAGGGACCCGGGTTCGATTCTGGTCAGGGGCATGTGCCTTGGTTGCGGGCATATCCTCAGTAGGGGGTGTGCAGGAGGCGGCTGATCGATGACTCTCTCTCATCAATGTTTCTAACTCTCTATCTCCCTCCCTTCCTCTCTGTATAAAATCAATAAAAAATATATTTAAAAAAAAAAAAAAAAAAAAAAATGATATATATATATATATATATATATATATATATATATATATATATATTATTGATTTTTTTAAAGAGAGGAAGGGAAAGGGATAGTTAGAAACATCGATCAGCTGCCTCCTGCACACTCTCCACTGGGGATGTGCCCACAACC